AGTGGAAGCCAAAGACAGACAAAGCAGAGCGCGAAGTTGAGAGTTGGATGGAATGGAGCAAATTTGGTTTGAGCAGAAGCTCAGACAGGGGGAAGTGGTGGTCGCTGCAGCAGAGGAAGAGGTGAATGACTGAGGAAGGAACAACTGTTGGGGGGGGGGACAGAAAGGGCGTGGGCAGGGGACAGGGACGGGCTCAGTAGGAGAGCTGGGATAAAACCATCCAGGGTGAAAGGAGGATAGTGAATACATGGAATACATAGATAGAGTTTGCTGAGGGGACTGAATGGGGAGTAAAGCACAATTCAAAGATCTGTCACAGAGTGACGGAGAAGTAGGTATCTGGATGGAATCCAGGGAATGGGGTGGTCAAGGGAGACACTAGTGGAGGCATGAGAGCACAGCCTGAGGTCAATGAGAGGAGGGGAAGGAGCAGAAGACATAAAGCTTTTAAGAAGTGGGGACTGCCTTCTGCTTCCTGCCCAGATGGGTGTCATTCAGTTTCACAATGGGGAGTGGAGACTTCAGAAGCCAGTGGAGACTCTTTCCTGGAGGAAGAAGGAACTCAAGGTGACACACACACCGGCCACCTCCATCCCATCTGCCCTGAGGGACCTGAACTCACATTCAAGCTGCCATTGACTGACGTGGTCCTGAAATATCAGAGGAATTCTAATGGAAGCTGCCTGTATTGCCCTTTCCTGTTCCATCAGCTCCTTGTTGCTGAAGTTGCCCTTGGACCAAGGGAGCTTGTTCACGAAAATTCCCTTCTTGCTGTCCCAGCTATGAGTCTGAAGCTCATCCAGCCAAGCTGAGACGTGATATTGTGTCCGGGAATGATTGTAAAAGGATATTGTCAGGATGATTCGGAAGGAGCTCGGCTCCTGGAAGTCTGTGGCAGGAGAACAGATAGAGTGAGGAAGAGCAGGGCAGAGGGAAGGAGAGAGAATCAAAAAAGAGGCCAGGGAGGGGCCCTGAGGACAGAGAGCCATGGTTCTCTTAGGAGACATGTGCTGCCCCAGAGCCCCAGGCTTGGCACCCATCATTCAGAAGAGCACAGGGCCCTGGGGTCAGGGATGCTCAGGAAAGAACCAGGCTGACATCCCTCACTCCCCATGTGTGTGCTGGGGAACCCACACCACGAGTGCACACACAAGCGAGTGTGCATAAACACATGGACACACCCATGCAAAGTTATAGTCACACAATCTTGCACAAACTAACATACACAGATACACATGCACACATTCACACACAAATACAAACACACACATATTAAAATACAAACATACAGACACACAAGCACTTTTACACACAGGACACACACACACAGACACACATGCAGATACACACTGAGACACACACAGGCACCTATACACACACATTCATACATGCTTACACTCATGGAGACACTCAAGCACATGTACATACATGATACACACATGCACAAATGAAGACACACACAGAGATACACACATGGGCATTACATGCACACACTCATAATACTTATGCACACATACAGACACACAATCACATACATGACCGCACGTTCACACACAGGCACATCTGTCAGCACACATACATGTGTGACACCCAAATGTAAGCACATCACACATGCAGACACAAACATGTGCGCACATGTGCACATACTACACACATGCAAGAACCCATGACACACACAAGCACACATGCACGTATACATATATCCATACCCACACACCCCCTCAGCAGGGCCACCATCCTCACCATCGTCACTGTCACCACCTGGGACAAGAACCGTGAGCAACACCAGTTGCAACAACAGCATCTTATGTGCAGATGTTCTTTCTTTCTCTCGGAAAGTGGGTCTTTGGCGTCTGTTCTCACAAACCTCCCCACACGCAGCCCCTCTCTTCTGACTTCCTTCACAACACACGCGCCTGCCCTGAGTCTCCACCCTCAACCCTGGACACCTACTCAGACTTTCACTTCCCCTCCGGGTCTGACC